GCCTCTCTCTCTCCCCCCGCAGCCGCTCCGCCTCTCTCTCTCCCCCCGCAGCCGCTTGTGATAGCATTTAGCTTTCTGGGTCCATCTATGTACCTGTAGGCTTACTGTCCTCCTGAACTCGCCTGCATTACAGGTGGAGCAGGTCCAGTAGCAGGTGTGGCAGGGGCATTTTTTTCCCCAGCCTATTCATGTTGAAGTAGCATCCTAGACACCCTCAACACAATAAAGCCTTGTTTACACAGGCAGCTGAATTTTACAACCCTTTAGTTGACAGCGGGATCACAGGCATCCAAGAGGCAATATTGATGCTTCATGAATGCCTGTTTTTCTTTAACTCCAAGGGGGATTTTACACTGCAATATGGCACCGCAAATCCCCTGACAAGCAGTTGTGGCGCAGTTCCATTGACTGCAATGGTTGTGTCTGGCAAGCAGCACAGCCTGGCGAACACAACACCAAAGCATTTGAAAAAGCCCAAGCAAGCACCAAATTAAGTTTTAGGTGGGCGGTCGGGGCCGATAATCAAACGCCTGCGTGAAGGAGGTCAAAAAGAAATGTGTTGTGGCACACTGCATTCTGGTGTGAAAATGCCCTCAATAAATACCACTCGACAGTAAAAAAAAAAACTGGATTCAATGTGGTGTGTGCAAACCTAAATGAAGCAAAAACGCAGAAAAGCCAGTTTGGCTATAAAAGCATAGAGAAACAAGAGCACCTGTCAACCGCAAAGCTATAAAAGCATTCTCTTAACCTGCACGACTGCTGCTGTTTGCTTCTACATTGCACAACCTGCGGGCTTGGTTGGAACCCCCTTCCTTACCTTTCCGCAGCTCGCTGTCCCATACGGCAACAATGACCCTGGAGTGCTTTCTATGGTGAATCAGCCATAGGGATAAGGTCTGCACACTCTGCTGAGAGTTACTCAGATCCGACAGCTTTTTCTCCAGGGCCGCCTCGGAGAACGCAGACATGCCGGCCAGCTGCTCACCCCTTACTCCTCCCGCTCTCCGCCTGCGCCAGAGGAAAGTCAAACACAGCGGAGGGATATTCGATCGTGCTGCCGTTTGACTAATTAGGAATTCGGCCAGGTAACATATTTGGTTAGAGCTGAGGTTGCTATCTCACCAAAGGCAGGAAACAGTATGTGTTGGGAGAGCGGAGATGACGTCGGGACATGTGCTGCCTGCTGTTGTTGCCAGCAAAAGAGTTACAGCCATATTGGTACACCCATTGAATACGGACTGTAATAGGCTTACTCCTGCCACCCGGTGGACACTTGTGTGTAATGCACTGCTCCCTCCATTGAAGTACAACTGAAGCCAAAACATTTTTGAAGTGTATTTCCACTTTTGAAGACAAACTGGGATAACACCTATTTTATATTTGCTACATTTCCAAATTCACAAAGAACAGCATATTTTTTTTAAATTGCTGATTGCATAATACATGCTCTATTCTGAAAGATAAGTTGTTCTCTGTAGTGAGTTTTGCACTGGGATGCAGGGAGGAAGGGGGGGGGGGTTGAACTTGGCAGGATAATGTTAACATAATTAAACATTTCTCTACTGCAAGGTATTAGATAGGCTTCAGGGTAGTAGATGAGTGCAGCCTAGTAGATGGGTGAAGGGTAGTAGATGGGTGCAGGGTTGTAGAAAGGCTTCAGGGTAGTAGATAGGCTGCAGAGAATTAGATAGGCTGCAGGGTAGTAGATAGGCTTCACTCAGGGTAGTAGATCGGCTGCTGGGTTGTAGACAGGCTTCAGGGTAATAGACAGGCTTCAGGGTAATAGACAGGCTTCAGGAGATAGGCTGCAGGCTAGTAGATGGGCTGCAGGCTAGTAGATGGGCTGTGGGGTAGTAGATGGGCTGTAGGGTAGTAGATGGGCTGTAGGGTAGTAGATGGGCTGCAGGCTAGTAGATGGGCTGCAGGCTAGTAGATGGGCTGCAAGGTAGTAGATGGGCTTCAGAGTAGGCTGAAGGACTGCAGGGTAATTTATGTCAGCTCCATTCTGTCTCTGCTTTGATGTGTGTATTAACTCCTTTACCTCCCTTATCTTGCACATCTGTACATTAACATGTGACCTGTGCCTTCCTCACTACATAAATATTTACCTAGCTTGTGAAACTCATGGCTGGCCTGTTTTTATGAGACCCACCTTCAGCTTGCCTGTACATCCCTCTGTTGCCTGCCTGCACTGGTAACTTGCTGGCTCTTACATCAGGACAGAAGTCATCATATTTTGCAGAATGGTGGTAGTTTTTCACAATTTCTTGTAGCTTGTTACCAAACTCTCAAAGTAAAGTAATCTGAGTTAGGGTGTAGACTAGAGTGTATTGTGAGGTAGCCTTTTTCAAATAAGTGTAATGTTGCTCTGGTATACCTTCCTGTAAGTGGATGTAGTATATGTTGAGCAGATATAGTGGTTGAACATAGGCTTCAATGGTGTACATTTAAAAACTGGTTAAAGAGAAAGAGGTCTGATTCAGTGGCGTAACAACCGGGGGGGCAGCCGGGCGCTTTCCCCGGGTGCAGAGCTGAGACGGGGCACCGTCACCGCCCCCCGCTAAACGAAGCACCTGGCCGCAGGTGCAGTGGCTCCCTTCGCCGCCTCTCTGCCACATGCACCCAGCCGGCCGGCCGGCCCGCATCAGACATCGGGCGGCTCTCCTCAAGGGGGTCCTCGGGACTCGAGTCCCCAGCGGGGCGGCCCTCTACAGTGCCTGATTAGAGGGCCGCGTCAGCCTGATCCAGCCAGCCCGGATCGCCTATGCAGAGAGGCGGTGGAGGGAGGGAGCCACTGCACCTGCGGCCACGACAGACCCCTCTAACAGCGTGGGAGATGGGAGGCTGCGCTTGTTGGTGGATCCAGGAATCAGGTGAGTATTAGAAAAAAAAAAAAGTTGTATGTTATGTTTCCGTGGACATCATTTGTCAGGGGATGGTCTCCTCAATCCGGGGACTGTCCCTGGAAATTGGGGATGAATGTAGGGCTGCAACAACAAATCGATTAAAAATGTCAATCATCGATTAATCGGCTTTCGATTAGTTGGCCCTGTTCACGGCTCCACACACATCGCGCGCCGCACCTCCTCCGCGCCTCACGCTTGCTGCTTCCAGACCCGCCGCATACACGCTCCACACGCCGCACCTCCTTCCGGCCTCACGCTCACCACCTGCCCACATCCACATCCACGATTTCCTAGCAATAGTACATTATACAGCGCAATGCAGAATACCGCCAGCTATAATGTACTATTGCTGGGATTTGTTGTATTCTTCTATAGCTTGTGGAATTCCGCATTGTCCTGTATAATGTACTATTGCTGGGGGTTGAAAGGCCGTGACTGTGTCAGTCGGGCGGAGATCGGGGTCCTGGGTATAGCAGGCCAGGTGGTCAGTATTGGATGTTGGGGATGGGGTCCATGTTGGGGTGGTGAGGGATGGGTGCTCAGTGTCGGGTGTTGGGATCCTTTTGAGGTCCCTGGCAAGTCAGTATCAGGTGCTGGGGTCTCATGTGGGTCAGTGAAGGTGTAGGGGCCCTGTCCCAGTTGGACTGGCCGCTTATAGTTCATAATTAATACAATGCCATTATAGAACGTAGATGAACTTAAAAGTTTTAAGTTCCACGTGTAACAAGTTATTTTTAGGGCATCCTGCCCACTTTTATTTAAACATTTCCATAAGTGTTTCCCTCACAGGTTAAACACAAAATGTAGCTTTTTCCTTCAGCAATATACAATTTTTCAGTCTCACCGACTTCAGGTTGGTCCTTTAAACAAAAACGCCCACTGGCCACACAGGCTGTATTCAAAGGACCTGCCACAAAGGCTTGTCTTTTTGCCAAACAGGAGGACTGCCACACAGGCTTGTCTTTAGCCACACAGGTGGGTTTCCACACAGGCTGCACTTTGGCCACACAGGCGATCTGCTCCCCAGTCCACCAAACACAGGCTGGTTCTAGGGTGGGGTTGTTCTCTTAGGAGGCTGGGACTTCTTGTAGAGGCCCTGACAAGCCAGCTAGCTTCAGCTGGGCTTGTTACCTCTGAGACTCCAGCCCTCTCAGCACTTCCTCCTAGAGGAATGACTTAATTAACACAATTGTACACCGACATCCCCATCCCTCTCAGCACTTCCTCCTAGAGGAATGACTTCATTAACACAATTGTACACTGACATCCCCATCTGCCTGCTGCCACACAGGGTACACAGAGTGGCCAATGTGGGTTGGTGCACAGAGTGGGTCGTGGCGTGGATGCAGAGTGAATGGGAGGTGTGGGTGCACAAAATTGATGGGGCAATGTGGGTTACATAGTTACATAGTATTTGAGGTTGAATAAAGACATAAGTCCATCAAGTCCAACCTATTGTGTGTGTGTGTGTATAGGTCCCTGAGTGTTCTCATTCTTAAGAGTACCTTTACCCTTGTACATTACGGTCTCTCAGGAAATCGTCCAAAAGCTTCTTGAATTATTCCAGACTATGTGCTGAAATCACTGCTTGAGGCAGCGAGTTCCAGGTCCCTAACCGCGCGAATTGAGAAGAACCCCCTTCGCCCCTCTGACTGATCTCTAGATCTACCAAATTCCATGTATAGGAAGGGCCTGGCAGATTACATACAAAATGATACAGTGTTGGCAAAAAAAATTAGAGCATGGAGCATTTTTTTGCATTTGCAGTGGAACAGAATGCAGGCAATGTTTTTCCACGTGTGCAATCGCACTGCGGGCAGGGGGAGTGTGGCTGCGGTTACATTGACTTCAATGCACCGCCACGCTTCCTCCTGCCCCAGAGCGAAGGGGGAAGTTTGAGAGCAACTGTCTGACAGGAACGGTCTTTCCTCTTTCCTAAACCCATGCTGATTGTCATTAACTATACCATTATCCTGAATGCACAAAGTGGGTGGGTGATGTGGGTGGCAGTGTGGGTGGGTACACAGAGTGGGTTGCAGTGCGGGTGGGTGCATTAGAGTGGGTGGCAGTGTGGGTGGGTGCACAGAGTGGGTGGCAGTGTGGGTGGGTGCACAGAGTGGGTGGCAGTGTGGGTGGGTGCACAGATTGGGTTGCAGTGTGGGTGCACAAAGTGGGTGGGTGCACAGAGTGGGTGAGTGCACAGTGTGGATGCACAGCATTACCTCCCCCTGCTTACCTGTCGGCAGTGCTAGCCAGCAGTGGAGATCAGACGCCGCTGCTTCTTCTCCAGCCGGCAGGCAGGAGATGACTCCGCCCTCCCCCGCTCTACACTGAGTGCAGGTGTCCTTAGGTTCTGTGCGACTCTGCACAGATTTTAACTTGCGGCCACATGGAAGTTAAGGATCCCCGAGCCTCTCTCCTGCTCCCAACCTGGCCCCCCTCTGGCCCGGGCCACATAGTTGCCGCGTAGGCTGCTATGGTGGTAGTTATGCCACTGATCACAGTAGTACATTCACTAATGTACTCTTGTGACCTAAAGTCAGCATATAGCAGGCCTCTCTAGAGCCAAAGCCAGCTATACCCACCCCCTCCCCTGTCTGTCCTTCCAGCGAGCAGTGGAGGAATAGAGAGAGGGGAAGGGGACATTCCTGCAGGAAGCCGTGACTGACAGTCACAGCTCTCTGCAGGTAGGAGACCATGAGCGCTCAGTATATAGCGCCAGCATGGGACTGCTGCAGTGTCCCACGCCAGTATATTTTACTCTCCCAATACTTATCCTTTAAGTTTTAGACACTTAAGTAACCTTAAGTAAAAGATACTCCTGAACTCCAAAATCTCATTGTGATATATTGACCTCAAAATCTCATTGTGATATATTGACCTCAAAATCTCATTGTGATATATTGACGGTCAGAAGCACTTGCAAGGAGAGATCCCAACCTCATGATTAGCTCCCTTAGGCTCTTTAATATAGGTGGTGTGTTGAATGGCACAAATGGCCATTTCCAAGTCCACATACACAATTGGAACAAACCTGCATCTGGACTATAACATCATGGTGTGGCACTTAAATTCTACTCCCATCCATTCCAGTCACATAAGCTGTCAGCTCATTGTTCAGACAACCTACACCTATTACAGCAGGGTTCTAGCACCACCCAGATATTCTCTTAAACAGGAGTGCATAAAGACCAAGTGAGGTGTGCATAAAGACCAAGTGAGGTGTGCAGCCTTGAGTAGTGGG